TAAAGGTAATATATTATGTATAAAGGTAATATTTATGTATAAAGGTAATATACCTTTATGTATAAAGGTAATATATACCTTTATGTATAAAGGTAATATATACCTTTATGTATAAAGGTAATATAAAGGTAATATATATTACTTTTTATGTATAAAGGTAATATATTATATATAAAGATAATATATACTTTTTATGTATAAAGGTAATATATATCAGTTTTTTCCTTTATGGTTTCAGGGTTTTGGACTTTATCTTGGAAAGTCCATTCCAAAATAATTTTTCAGTGCTCTTTCCCCCCAAATTTCTTTATTTTTCTTTTTTTAGTATTTAATCTGTGTGCATGTTGTATGAGAAATGAAGATTCTAGTTTCTTCTTCCCAAAACGGCTAGCCAGTTGTCCCAATTCTATTTATTGAATGATTTGGCTGCCTTCACTGGTTTGAAATGCCATCATCATCATTTTGCATTTGTTCTTGTGTCTTGTGCCTTGTTCTTAGGAATTGATATATGTACTTGGGTCTTAAATTTCAGTTTGCTTTGGGATCTCTTTCTGTATTCTCTTCTGCCCAGTGCTCTGTCTTTTCCACATTGTTTTGATTTCTATACTTATAATTCACTTTAATATCTTGTTCAGCTAATCTTTAATTAACCCCCTCTAAAATTTTCCTGGAAATTGTCACATGTTTTTTTCTCACTAAGAACTTAGAATAGCTAATCTAAGTCTCTTCCTTACTTCCAGAAAGTTATATTGGGTTTTTATTGGGATTACATTAAGTTAAATATCTAGATTATGGAAAATTGCTATTTTTACATAAGGCAGATCTTTCCACTTATTTGAGTGTTTTTAAAATCACTTAGAATAATTTTAAAGTTTTTAAAAATTAAGCCCTGCATTTTTTTTAAATGTATTCCTTCCTTCCACTTGCCAGTGTTGGTATTATAAATGGAATCTTTCCTCCCATGAAATTTTCTAGTTGGTTATGGTTTACATATAGGAAATTCATTACATTTTGTGTTAACTTTGAAAGCTGACAGGGTTCCCTTATTAATTGTAATAATTTTTCAGCTGATCATCTTGGATCCACTTACTAGCTACTGATGTCTTTTGGAGATGAACTGGTCTAGTATGTTTGCAAACTAGAATTTAAGTGAAAACTTAAAAAAATAAAATTTTCATAAAAAATGATACGCCTTTCTCCTTTTTAATCAATGCATTTACTGCCCCTAACAGATTTTATAGTTGTCTGTGGGAGGAAAGGAAATAAGTGTAGCAGGGGCTTGTGTGAAACACCCAACGAGAGAGAATTAAAACAGAACGTGGACTCTGTTGATATCACAGTTATGAAAAGAAGCATCTGAGCCAGTTTATGTGAGGGGTAGTGAATGCCAAGGATGTTCTAAAGTTGGCATAAGATGAAACAATTGGTGAGAGCCTCCTTCCCTACTTTGCTTTTTTTTTTTTTTAAGATTTTTTTACTTATTTGACAGAGATCACAAGTAGGCAGAGAGGCAGGCAGAGAGAGAGGGTGAAGCAGGCTCCCTGTTGAGCAGAGAGCCCGATGCGGGGCTCCATCCCAGGACCCCGGGATCATGACCTGAGCCGAAGGCAGAGGCTTTAACCCACTGAGCCACCCAGGCGCCCCCTTACTCTGCTTTTTAAAAGCAATCAGTGTTCAGTGTTATGTTGTAAACCATTTATAGGATAGATACTGAAAATGTTAAATAGTAAGTATCCCACACTCTCACTGGAGAAATGAAATAATGCTTTTGGTATTTTAAAAGAGATAATAGTGACAAAGCTAAAACTGAGAAAACAACATTACCCCAGCTTATGAAGCTAGCACAGCAATACAGACATAGTCGTTATTTGTTACAGTGCTCTCAGTAGCTAGTCTTTAAAATATTGGCAGATGGGTCCTCTGGCTATGTCGTAGAGCCGGAAAGAGCAAGAAAGCTGTTCCAGAACCTCAACATGTGGAGCTAAGCATGGAGTCAAGGGTAAACCCAGCTCTCAACCCTAAGAATGCTAGTGGTAAACCAGAAGATTTTCTACGTGAATCACAAACATAATTAAGAAGATAATGGACAGAGAAGATGGGTGATTACGTCTGAGAGGAAATTAACATTTCACACCACATCCAACCCCTCTGTTTGATGGGGACAGACTTGAATGTTGCTGCCAAAAGCTTTTACCTGAAGTCAAGAAACAAGCTGCAGTGGCTGCAGCCCCCAGGCTAGCTTCCCAAAAAGTGAAGATGAATGCTAGGGTGCTCCAAAGAAAAGGCTGGGGAGGAGTTGGTGTCCAGGTGTGGGGACAATGGGAACATTCTAGAGGCTGAGGCTGGAGGTGTGGATGTGACTGTGGTGACGGCATGACTGGGGGCTCTATGCACCCCAAGCCCCAGAGATCTTCTCAATCTAGTCATGGCTAGTATAATCAAGATGGGCCAAGTCTTCTGGTTCTAACTCTTGTCTTACAGAGAGAGAGAGAGAAAGAGAGAGAGAGAGATGAGTCCGTTGAAAACCTTGCCACAGCAAAGAACTATACATGTCCCCCTCATTGATACGTCCCCCAGGCTTGGACAAAGACCGGGGGTGGCGCAGCTCATGATAGGGAGGACTCCTTGGCTCATATCAGGAGGAAAGGAGATCTCTGTCATTAGAAGTGAGTAGGCATTCACTGGGGACCATTTTGGTGGTAGGGGCTGGGGGGAGAGTGTGTAGAGGACTCTCAAGCATCCAAAATGTATCTGAACTTTCCAGCCTTTAAGAAATCTCTCAGCCCTGAGATTTTGAGATAGATAGATAGATATAGATAGATATCTAATTTTAGTTGTGGTTTTTTAAAAGATTTATTTATTTATTTATTTATTTATTTTGTGAAAGAGAGAGAGTACACACACAAGCAGAGGAAGGGGCAGAGGGAGAGGGAGAAGGAGAGAAGCAGAATCCCCACAGAGCATAGAGCCCAACGAGGGGCTCCATCTTACAACCCTGAGATCATGACTTGACCTAAAATCAAGAGTCCACCACTTCCGGGCTTAGCGGACTGAGCCCCCGAGGTGCCCCAGTTATGATTATTTTTCTTGCTTCTATAATAATAACTATTATTATTAAAATTACTCTTATTATACTTAAATTTTTTGAGTATTGTACAGCAGGCACTGCATTGAACTTTTTATATGTGTTGTCCCTATGAGGTAGTCCCTGTCATTTCCCAATGTAGAGATAGGGAAACTGAGTCTAGGGGAGGTTGAAGTTCTCTGAGATCTGTCAGACAGATAGCAAGTGGGGGAGTTAGGATTCAAACCCTGTACTTCTTTTTTTTCCCCCAAAACCCTGTACTTCTGACTGCAGAGCCGCTGAGCTACCCTTAATTTTTACTTTTTTTTTTTAAATACTCCAAACTTATAAAGCTCATAGTAGTTTTACAGTCTCAGGATATTGCCCGCTTATGCAAAAAGGCAGGTTTTATCCTTCCCAATTTTTATATATTTGCTTGCTTTTTGGCTGTAAAGAATATTGAATTAGAATCAGACTCTGATAGAGACAAGTGAGTGATCATAGAATTTCAAGCTTCAAATAATAAACGGGAGTGTGTTAGGACCCTCAGCTATGATGAAATCACAGAGAACCCATAAGTAGCAGTATTACTGACAACTTCCCATTTAGGCAGCTGATCATAATTATCACAAAGAAGGGAGAATTTGGTGTCCATTCATTCTTTTTTTTTCCATTCCACAAATATTTATGAACTTAAAACTACATTGGAACGCAATGGAAGATATGCTGAATATGTTTCTCATAAAACACAAGCATCCCATCAGAGATGTTGGTGCTGACTTTTCTCTGCTTCCTTACAATGCTAAAAGAAGCATCTCTTTCCTCCCCCAAAACTGCATCTTACTCTTTCTTGATACAATTAAAACAACTATTCTAACTGACTGATCGCCATGGTAATCTTTCAAATAAACACAAATGCACTTATTTTGGGTACCAATTGCCCTTGACCATTGAAGTGAAGGACTAGGATGCAAGAGGTTCGGGAATGGTTCAGGAGGAAAGACAGGAAGGTGGAATTGCTAGAGGTGGGGCAAGAGGATGGAAGGGGGAGTAGCCAGTGAAGTAAGAGCTGGTTGACTGAGGACCAAATGAAGGGGCAGACGGAAGAGAGCTACGGTATGGGAGATAAGGAGGAAGCACTGCTCTGGGAAGCATGCAGCCAGAATTCAGCAACATGACCAGAGCCTTGGTGCTCTGGTGGACTAGCAGTTTAGCACTACCCAAGGCTACCGCTCAAGCCAGGGCTCAAAGCCTTCTCTAGAAAGTGTGAGACTGGAGGCAACTCAACCAGTATGGGGACCATCTCAGATACGTGCACTTGAAACCACATCTTTCACAGACCCCTTGGGACAGCATAAAAGATACTTCAAAATAAAATCATAATGATGTTCTGTTAAGAGGAGTAGGGTGTAGCACCCTACGGACCTCTTTGTCCCAAAGGCAGGGACCAGGGTGGCTGCCACTGGTCTCCTAGGGGATGGGACCATAGGCAATCCCAACACTGGGATCAGGACTCCCCCAAAGTGTTTGACACCTTCTAAATTCTTCCCAAGAACAGTCCTGCCTTCTGCTCTCTAGGCTCGAGGGGGATAGAGCTCTCTCTGGCTACCCCATCTCTGAGGCAGTGGTCTGCTTCCACCCAGCCTATCTCCTTCATACGATCAACTCATTGACACCTCATGCCCTCTCAGGGATCAGGAAGAAGGGCTCATTTCTTTTTCTGCACCCCAGCTCATTCCATGCTACTAAATCTCAAAACACCCAGAGGAGAGCCTCTCCTCTGCACCACACCCCGCAGCCCTACCCCTCCCCTTACCCCCATGCCCCCCCCCACGTGCTCATGCAGGAAGCCTCAAAGCTGTGGTCCAAGCATCCACGGGTGGTGGGCAGCAAAGCCTATAGGCTCCAGAGGCTGAAGAAGGTTCTGAGTACTCACCAAGTGCAGGGTGTCGGCTTTCTGTGTCTGCCTCTGCCGGCTCTTCTGGGCAGCAATGCGATTTTTCTCCCTTCTCTGAACTTTCCTGACATCATCGGATGAGTCCTGGGAAGCACAGATGACGGGAATTAGGTGAAAGTGCTCCTCTCTTCAGAGTCAAAGCACATTCTCGGGCTGCTTGGTATCTGTCCATCCATCCTTCCATTTCTTCATCTTTTCATTTGCCCGCTTAAAAGGCTGAGCCCAAAAGAGAACTCTTCCCCACACTGTTATGCTCCCTTAGGTCCCTATAGCTATTTTGGCCAAAAGCTACAGGAAGAGGAAAAAGACCCTGGGGCCTCGATAGGGCTGTATTTGGAAAAAAAAAAAAAAAATGGTGAAGGCGATGAAGTGTGTTTTATCACCTCTCCTCTCTCTGGGGCTGCTTCACCCTTACTCTCCCACTTCGGGGCCTAGAATTTTCTTGCTATTTCCCCCCCCCCAAAACTTTGCTGAGCACCTACTATGTGTCAACTTCTGTGCAAGTACTTTTTCAGAGGTGCTCTTGTTTAATTCCTGTTTAATTAACTGTGTTTAATTAACTCCTTGTGTTTAATCAATTAGCTCCTTGTTTAATTAACAGTGCAGTTAATATTATTGTTTCCATCTTATATGCGAGGAGGCTGAGGCTCAAAGGTCTTGCCCAGGGGGCTACCGTAATCCAGGCCCTTCCCTCTTCTGATGCTAAGTCTGACACCTTTCCAAGGACTTCCCACCCCTCACTGGTTTGTATTCACGTGTCTTCTGCCACATCCCTGGGCTGAGGTCCCCATCCCAGATCTGCCTCTTTTTCCTCGTGCATTCCCTTCATTATGCTCAGTGACCTTGACATTCCCCGTGGCCCTGAGCACAAGGCCTAATACAAACTAGAAGCCAAGAATAGCTTTAAAGGTGGTGATTACCTGTCTGTGGCAGGCAGTGGATGGCTGCTTAGGACAAGAGGACCTCTGGGTGTCCTCTAAGTTTATCCCACAGACGGACATGTCCTCTACTTGGACAAAGAGGTTTGCTCCAGTTCCCCACCCCCGTCCAGATATTGCAGGATGAGTATAGGAGTAAAACCGTCCACAGCTCCTGCCCTGTTCCCTCTCACGCCCACACAGGATCCAGAGACACTGTTCCTGGGGCAAGACTGTGCCCACCAAGCAGATGTCTCACCAGCATGCCCAACACTTCCAGGCCATTGCAGTAGGAGGGCATCGGGTTAGATGGGAAGGAAGTGCTTCTCTAGAAGGGGCATGGGGAACTAGGTTACCATGGAAGCCATGAGTAATTTCCTTCCTAAGAAGAATACAGACTTCCAGGCAGCCTGAGCCGCCATGATACCATCTGGAGCAGAGGACTGGACTCTTTCCCTCTAGAGGTCTCCACCAGGACTCCCCCCAGCCTGCTGCTCTTCTGCGAGACATTGATGACAGATACTGGATTATCCGTTCTTACACTTTTACTTCGGATGCAGCACCTTCCAAGCCCTCTTGGGTATCTGTGCTAAGGAAAGAATGTGGTTTTTAAACCATGAACTTGGAGCAGAAATGTTAATCCCTTGATGTATCGGGGGAGAATGAAGCAGCCATTGTCTGGAGAGGGATGTCAAGGAAAGTGGTGAAGAGAAAACTCCAGAAGCTTTGGGGGCAGGCAGAGTGCCCCTCCCTTTTTTTTTTTTTTTTTTTTTCAAACCTCAAGCTGAAAACTTTGGACTTGGAAGTCACAATCTCGATGCCAAACACTCCCAGACTCTCTACCTCAATGGTTCTGGCTTCCCCGAGCAGAGCTGAACTCCTACAGCCAGCTCCAACATCCGCTCCTGATTCCTTTCCCCATCTAGAAGCCACAGAGGGGAGAGGCTTAGGTGGCAGCTCCTGCATCCCTCTCTGCTGGCCGTGCTAGCAGCCAGGACCGTGCCCCAGTAGAGAACATGGATTCTCCTGGGCTTGCCTGGCTTCCTCCTCCAGCTTGCCCTTTTCCTCTTCTTTGCTTTTCCCTGCCCCTTCCTTCTCTTGCCCTGATGGCTGCCTCCCACGAAACCACACGCCTGGGCTAGGCATGCCAGCCGCCTCCCTAACGCGGTGCCTCTCGCCTTGGGGAAAGGGGGACCCTTTCCTTTGAGAGACCAGGGTTCCTTGATGCGCATTCTCCTCCTGGCTTCCTAGAAAGCTCCACGGGGTGGGGGCCCAGGGGAGAGAAAGGGGGGGGCGGGCCCCGCTAGGAGTGGAGAGGGAAAGGGGCTTGGGTGGGATGGGTGCAGGAGGAGGATCTTGGCCAACAGGCGCGGCTTAGCTGCAAACACCACGTCCTGTGACAGGGCGCTCCTGCCCCCAGCCACTTCCTCGCTCCTCCTGGGGCTCCCTGGATGGGGACCTGTAGCCCGAGCTCCAAGGGCCCCCCTCCCGAGAATGAGAAGGTGGGCTGCAGGGAAAGGGGGGACTCTACCTGTTTGCCAGGGGGAGGGGAGCGGCTGAAGCTGGAGTCGCTGCTGTCAGAGCTGTGAGGCATGGCTGCAATCTTCCGGGCTCCGCAGACACCCCGGGGGCCACGGGGCTCTCGGGTCACCAGCCGGCCTCCCTTCCTGACGGCTCCCGGGCCACCAGCTCACCCCCCTGCGCAGCTCCCTCCTCTGCCCGCCCTGCAGCCGCCTCTGCCCCCTGCGTCCTCCTCACTCTGGGGTGCCGAGGCACTGCTCCCCACAGGGACATGTCGCTCGCTTTGGGGCTCGTGTGCGCGCGCTCTCTCTCTCTTGTGGTTTCTGGTAACTCACACTGGAAGTCACATGGGCGGAAACTTAAACAAGTTCGAAGTTAATTTGAGAGAAAATACATATCTGGGAAAAGACCCACAGAATTATATGAAAGGAAGAAAAAAAAAATACACAAAACCCCAGATACCTTCCGACTGTTTGAAAGGAAGAACAGCTCTCTTCAATTGATGAAGATAAAAGAGAAAAACAGCCCAGGCAGGGAAAATCCCCGGCCCGAATTAGCAAGCCCGGCTCCTGTCAACACGGGCAGAGAGGAGAGGGCAGCAGGGAAAGAGTTTCCATTGTCAGCCGACTTGATTTTTAAACCAAAATAAAGCAGTGAGACTGGGATTTCTTTCTGGTTTTTACCCGAAAGCAGCTGCCCATCGTGGCCTGGGGTAGGCCTTCCTCGCCCGCCCTGTGCAGCCTGGTCCTTGCCTGACTCCTGGCCCAGAAGAGGCCCCAGGATCTGAAAGCCACCGGCAGGCTCTGGGGTGGATGTTTCAAATGTCTGTTCATCACCTACGCCTCTCAGCAGCACGCCGTCCGGAGGGAAGAGGAGCCTTTCACGTGGGGGGTCTTCTTAATGATTCAAGAAGGTCACCGGGTCAAAGCCCAGAATGCAGGAACAGTGAGAAACAGTGAAATGAGCACTGTACTCGGAGTCACACCAACTGGGATTTGCTTTCTGACTTTACCACAATGCCTGTGGCCTTGGCTAGCTCACCTGAGCTCGATGCCCCTCTAGCTCCATCTGTAAACGGAAGAGTGATAAAAACCCGCCCTGCCCGCCTCTCGGGGCTGTTTCCAGAAGCAAATGATGGCATGGATTAGAATGCCCCCAGCAGACAGTAAAATGCGCTCTGAAGACAGCTGTTTCTTGTAGTGTTTGGTCTTACTGTGAGCACACTTGTAGCATTCTCAGTAAGTAATGCAACACTCACCTGGGCATTCTGGCTTTTGAAAAAGCCCTTGCTTTATTCCCAGTATGGCTGAAAGCCAAATGCTTGCCTTGCTAGTCTTAGGATGGATAGGAAGCATGGCCCTTATAGGATTTTGTATCCACTGGCTGGATTTCTGTCCTAAGGCAATGTTGTCCTTAAGGGTATGTTGAGCAAAACAAAATTCCTTCCCTCCTGGAAGTTATACTCGAGTGCAGGAGACAGACAGTAAACAAAAGTTAACATAGAATACGTCAGCTTGTGACAAGTGCTGTGGAGAAGAAGAAAAGGTGGGAGGAGGTTAGGGAATTCTGAGGATCAGTGGGTTGTTATTTCTACATGGTGGTCAGGAAGACCTTACTGAAGGGAGGGCATCTGAGCAGTGACTTGAAGGAAGGGAGGGAACATTCTGGCAAAGACCTGAGGTGTAAATGTTTGGTGTGTTAGAGGAACAGCAGGAGATGAAGGTGGCAGGTATCAGGCCCATGTGGTGTAGGGCCCTGGAGGCCATGATGAAAACTCTGGCTTTTATCCTGAAAGACTTGGGGAGCCTCAGAAATACCACCTTCCCACTTTTGCTCTGTGGTTCTCTCTACCCTAGCCACTATTCGTGTCCTTCATAGCCCTTATCAAACTTTGTCATTATTTTACTAGTTTAATTACTTAGTTTGTTGTCCCTGTTTCCCTCATTTGACCGTTACCTCCATTTATGAATTTAATTCGACAAATGTTTATTGAGCACCTACATGCAGTATCCACGTGCAGGAGACACAGTTATGCTTTGACTTTTTCCCTGAACCTGATGGTGAATCAGTTTGCTTCTGCTGCCCAGCAATCCACACACCGAAAAATTCAATGGCTTGAAACAACCATTTATTTTGCTCATGAGTCTTTGGGTCATCTGGAAGGTTCTTCTAGGAAGGCCTGGCCAAGGCTGGGTTCTGTCTCTGTCCTCAGACAGCCAGGAGGTTGGCTAATAATTCGATGGACTTGCCTGGGTCAGCTCTGCTCCACATGGTCTCTCACTGCCCTCAACAGGCTTTCTGCCTAGCAGTTGCCAGATTCCAAGAGTCAGCACAGAGGCGTTCAAAACCTCCTGAGGCCTGGGCTCAGAACTGGCACATTCTTCTAGACAAAGAGAATCCCAAGGCCAGCCCAGACTCAGAGGGGTGAGAAACAGACTTCACCTCTTCATAAGAGATTTAAGGACTCCTGGCCATTTCTGCAAACCCCCCACAGGTGAGGAGCCCTGGAAGGTTTTAGAGCAGAGGAGTGACGAGCTCTAACTTGGGTTTTAATGAGATCTTTCTGGAAGCCGTTGAGATTTTATTGTAGAGGAACACAGTGGAATCGGGAGAGTAGTCAGGATTATGGCATTGGGTTATTATTATTGTTATAATAAACCAAGTAAAAGATGTTGGTGACGTAGACCAGCGAAGTAGTGATGAAGGTGGTAAGAAGTGAGTGTTGTGAAAACTGATGACTGTGCCTCTCTTGTTGACGATCGCATGCCCAACGCCTGGTAGGTGCCTGGTGAAAAGTTGTCAAGGGAATAAATGTATGAATGAATTCCCACAGAACTCTGCTCAGACTTGGGGCCCTTGTCATGACCTGCGTTATCCTAGATCTTTCCTCACCCTTAGTGTATGGAAAGCTCTATAAGGATAAAAATGGTCATATTTATGTTTTAGTTTAATTAATTTAATTTAACATTTATTAATACCTATTATAGAGCAGAAATCATACATAGGACTAAGACAGAGCCCGTGCCTTCATAGAAAGAAGGGGAAGTAGTTAAATAACCAAGATTCTTACCAGTGTTACTACATTCAGATGTTCTTTGCTCTTTGAGCATGTAGTAAATACAAGCAAATACTTGTTGAATGAATGACTGCTTCATTCTTGTTTCCAAATCAATATTTGGATTTAATATTTAACAGGGATTAAAGAAGATAAAAATGAAAAACTATCTCTCACACAGAAAGATGGTCTCTTTCAATAGTACTGATTCACTGATTGTGAATTATTTTTACATATTTAAGATTAAAGAATATGGTGCAACCACTCTGGAAAACAGCATGGAGGTTCCTCAAAATGTTGAAAATAGAACTACCCTATGACCCAGCAATTGCACTGCTGGGTATTTACCCTAAAGATACAAACGTAGTGATCCGAAGGGGCACGTGCACCCGAATGTTTATAGCAGCAATGTCTACAATAGCCAAACTATGGAAAGAACCTAGATGTCCATCAACAGACGAATGGATAAAGAAGATGTGGTATATATATACAATGGAATACTATGCAGCCATCAAAAGAAATGAAATCTTGCCATTTGCGACAACGTGGATGGAACTTCAGGGTATCATGCTTAGCGAAATAAGTCAATCAGAGAAAGACAACTATCATATGATCTCCCTGATGTGAGGGAGAGGAGATGCAACATGGGGGGTTAATGGGGTAGGAGAAGAGTAAATGAAACAAGTTGGGATTGGGAGGGAGACAAACCATAAGTGACTCTTAATCTCACAAAACAAACTGAGGGTTGTTGGGGGGAGGGGGGTTGGGAGAGGAGGGGTGGCGTTATGGACATTGGGTAGGGTGTGTGCTATGGTGAGTGCTGTGAAGTGTGTAAACCTGGAGATTCACAGACCTGTCTGTACCCCTGGGGAAAAAAAATATATGTTTATAAAAAATAAAATTAAAAAAAAAAAGATTAAAGAATAGACGCTTGTGTACCATTAAGCTTAAGAAATAAATTATGAACAGAGCTGAAGACCCCTGTACCATACATCCCTTCCTAACCTCGTTCCCTTCCCACCCCAAGGATAGCCATTTTTCAGATTATGGTCTTAATAGTCCTGCACATCTCTCTATGGTGGGACCATATCTATACATACGCTTGAACCAATACATGGTGTTGCCATGCATGATTTTAGGCTTTTTACATTGTCAATATTTTTACATTTAACTTTTATTTTTTCTCTATATCTGAAAGGTCGTAGCAAGGCTTGGGATACTGGCATCGTTCTGAGGTTATTTGGGAGATCTCCACAAAGCCACCAAAGAATAGTTGTGCTATAACCAGTATCCTCTTGCTAGACATCAGCCCAAAGCCTCAGGATAATGCTAAGGTAGTATTTACAAGACACTCAGATCCCTTATGCTGACAAGGAACGCCTGTGGGGACAGTTGTTAGCTCCTACTTGGCCCTGGTACAATTTAGAAAACAGTGCCCCCTCTTGGTAGGCAATCCCAGGCCAAAGGGCTCAGACTAGTGAGACGGTATTTGACTTCTAAGATTGGGGCTCTTGAACAGTGAACAGTTTATACAACTGTGCCCAACATCCTTGCTATAGATCACTTACTATGTGCCAGACACATACATTGATTCATTCAATTCTCACAATAGTCCTAGGAGGTAGTATTTCCCCCCATTTTACGGATTCTGAAATCCTGAGGCATGGAGAAGTTAAGGAAGTTTTTCAAGGTCACACGTGGCAGCTGACTTCCCCAGAACAACCAAGCTGACTTCCCCAGAACAACCGAGAGAGAGAGAAAGAGAGAGGGAGAGTGAGAGGAGGGTGAGGCAGTGCCTTTTATGACCTAATCTCCCAACGCTTCTGCTTTATTGTATTCGGTAGAAGCAAGACTCTAAGTCCAGCCCACCCATGAGGGGAGGCAAAGAAGTTTCCATCTTTCAAAGGGAGGACTATCCAAGGACTTGTGGACGTTTCTTATAACCACCACAATTTCCAAACAGATTTCTGCGGGGACATTTAGCTGGACTCAAGCAATCTGCTGTGAGACCAGGAGGGAGTCAAGGGGCAACGTTTTGCTCCTAGCTCTGCATCCAATCCCTCTGGGACCTCAGGAAGATCCCTTTCCCTCTCCCCAGGTATCAACTTGGTGGAAGGGAATGCAAGAGAGGAAGACATGCCGGAGTTTACTTCGTGAATCTAAGTCTGGCAAAGGGAGAAGCCGCAACACATTAGCTCATGACTGTCTTCTTGGATTGAGAGCAGCAGACCTGTGGCCGGCTTGACCTACAAG